TTTTTTTTTTTGAGACAGAGTCTCAAGCTGTTGCCCTGGGTAGAGTGCTGTGGTGTCATATCTCACAGCAACCTCTAACTCTTGGGCTTAAGCGATCCTCCTGCCTCAGTTTTTCTATTTTTAGTAGAGACAGGATCTCACTTTTGCTCAGGCTGGTCTCGAACTCATGAATTCAAGCTATCCACCCATCTCAGCCTCCCGGAGTGCTAGGATTACAGGCATGAGCCACCACAGTCAGCTTGATCTGTAGTTCTTCTTGTTGTCTGGGTATGTATTCTGGTTAGTGGAGAAATATAGCCACAGGGAGAGAAAGGAGATATGTTGCCTGACCGCTGGAAACACCAATTCTAGACTTAGTGCAAAAGATTAAATTCAAGATTGTTCCACAGAGAACTGCTTCTAGATACAGAGAAACCACTTGAGCTGTTGTAATCTTTTTATTTTTGAGACAGAGTCGTAAGCTGGGTAGAGTGCGGTGGCATCATAGCTCACAGCAACCGCCAACTCTTGGGCTCAAGTGATCCTCTTGCCTCAGTTTGTTTATTTTTAGTAGAGATGGGGTCTCACTTTTTGCTCAGGCTGGTCTCAAACCCATGAGCTTAAACAATCAACCCACCTCAGCCTCCCAGAGTGCTAGGATTACAGGTATGAGTCATCACACCCAGTTCTGAGCTGTTTGAATCTTGAGGATGATAGAAAATTCTGGAAACCAGCAGGATAAACATCCTGTGGACAGGTAACTCCAGAAGACAGAGGAGATACATAGGCTTTTGAATGCATACCCACTTTCTTCTTCCCGTTTGGCCAAATTGATTGTCATCCTGGTAGGCTGAGCCCGGGAGACCAGCCTTAGGCAACATAGTGGGACCCCATCACAGATCTTAGTCCTGGACAATGGCCCCAAAATATGTTACCAGAATTTCTTCAGTAGGTCCTTGGTCTCGGGGATTCTAAGAATGAACCCAGGGACCACAGATCAGTAGCAAGATAGTATTTTATTAGACAGAAAGGAATACAGAAGGAGTAAAAAGCACCAGAGCTTCTGGTAAAGGAAAAGACCCAAATGGGAAGGCTTCCCTATAGTTTTATTTTTAATTAATAAATAATGGTATATTAATGGCATACTCCGGTGGTATTTTAGTACTTGATTGTTAATATATTCCATGTATATTACTTATTATTATAAGTATTATATCTTCTTTTGCCTACTGGATCATAAATTATTTGAGAACGGGAACTCCTGTGTCCTTGATAGGGTCAATAAATGCACCCAGCTCATTATAATATGCCTTTTGTGTTGAGAGGTGTCTCCTATGGTTGGTATACAGCAGGCCAAGAAAACTGGCATAGCTTTGGCTAGGATGGGACCTGTAGGCCTTGTCAAGGTCAAAATGAAAGAGATGGCATGAAAGAGATGGCATTGTTTTAGTTTCTTATAAACTGCTATCAAACTTTATGATTTTTCTTTACTTTTTTTTCTTTGTTTTGCCATAGATTGTGCTTCTTGGTCAGACCCCGCATCAAGAACATGCGATACATTGCCAGTGAGTGTGCCATTTTACTACGTGGGAAATGTGTATTTAGCCCAAGATCTAAGGGCCTTGGCCATGGGACCGTTGAATAAGAAAAGAACTGTTTAAGTTGGCCATGGCCATTGTAGGGATATCTGCTTCCTTGCTTCTAGTCTAATGGATGGTCTGTGGCTTGCTGGGCTGCATTCCTTTTATCTGTAGATCTTGTTAATGCTGACAAATCGGCTGGCCGAACTCGCAAATACAAAGTGATCTTCAGCCCTCAGAAGGTGAGTTTGGATCCTGATAGGAGTGGGATAAGGTAGAACAGGACTAGGAGTGGGCAGAGGAAGGGCACAACAGTGCAGTCTTCCCATCTCAGTCCATTCTCTGTTGCTTGTAACAGAATACTTGAGACTGGGTATTTTTTTAGAAACAGAAATTTATTTACCTCATGGTCCTGGGGAGGCTGCAAAGTCCAAGAGCCAGTGTACCAGCTCCTGGCAAGGGTTATCCCATGGGTGAAAGGTGTAATACAGAAGCAAGCATGCAAGACTGAGAGGTGCCAGCCCGACTCACTTAATAGCAATCCGTACTCCTGATAAGGACATTAACCCATTCAAGAGGGCTCCTCAGCTCAGCTCCTATGGCTCAAGTGGCTAAGGCATCAGCCACATATACCTGAGCTGGTGGATTCAAATCCAGCCTGGGCCCGCCAAACAATGATGGCTGCAACCAAAAAATAGCTGGGCGTTGTGGTGGGCACCAGTAGTCCCAGCTACTTGGGAGGTGGAGGCAGGAGAATCACTTGATTGGAGTTAGATTGCTATGAGCTATGATGCCACAGCACTCTACCCAGGGCAACAGCTTAAGGCTCTGTCTCAAAAAAAAGGGGCAGTGCCTGTAGCTCAAAGGAATAAGGCGCTGACCCCATATACCGGAGGTGGTAGGTTCAAACCCAGCCCTGGCCAAAAACTACAAAAAAAAAGAGGGCTCCTCTCTGGTGACCCAATCTCCTGTCATTAAGTCTCATCTCTGCAGGCCAACACTGCTGCACTGGGGACGTATTCAAACCATAGTACTCCCTCAAAGCAAATTATGTGTGGCTGAACCAAATGGCTATCACTGTCTTCGTGCTGCTGTATTCCAGAGGGTCTGTCATCACACTGCCCTAAATAAAGTATTTTGGAATCTTGAGAGTGAGAGGAGGCCTCTACATAGATTTCTTTATTATTTATTTATTTATTTATTTATTTTCATGAGACAGTCTCACTCTGTCACCCTGGGTAGGGTGCGGTGATATCATAGCTCATAGCAACCTCAAACTCTTGGGCTCAAGTGATCCTCTTACCTCAACCTCCTTTGTAGCTGTGGCTACAGGCACCCACCATAATACCTGGCTAATTTTTCCATTTTTAGTTGAGATGAAGTCTTAGTCTTGCTCAAGCTGGTCTCCAACTCACCC